CTCTCTCTCTCTCTCTCTCTCTCTCTCTCTCTTCGGCATTGGCAGGCCATATTTTTTGGGGCGTGCTTGTGGCTTGGGTGATACTATATGGGCTTAGTGTATCATCTGGACTGGGCGGCACCATGTGGGGTGAGTCATACTGTACGGACTTATGTGGCGTGGGTGATACTAAACAGGTTGGGTGGCATTGTGTTGCCTGTGTGATTCTGAGTGGGTTGGGCAGTGGGGTGGGTCATGCTATGGACTGGGTGGTACTATGTGGGCTGGGTGGTATTATGTGGCCCAGGTGATACTATGTGGGTTGGGTGGTGCTTCGTGAGGGAGGTCATAGTATGTGCAGTGGATGGCTCTGTGTCAGCCGGGCGGTATGACCCCCCTCAAAAAAGACACAAAATAAACAAAAAAGTGAAGCTGGTGTAGTAGAATGGTTCACCCATCAACTGTTGATAGGCAGGCCTGAGTTTGACTGGGTGGCACGATGTGGGCTGGTGGTATTATGTGGCCCAGGCGATACTGTGCAGGTTGGGTAGTGCTACGTTAGGGAGGTCATAGTATGTCGAGTGGATGGCACTGTATCGGTGGGGCGGTATGACATCCCCACAAAAGAAGAACACACGAAAAAAAACAAAAAAATTGAAGCCTGTGTCGTGGACTGGTACACCGATCAACTGTTGATAGGCAGGCCTGAGTTCAAATCCCTCTTTGAGATCATTTTTCCCTTTTGGGGTGTTCTCGAGACTCGAGCTCGTGAAGACGGTCATGATGAGAATGAATCTTCTGCAACAACATGGAAAGATGCACCACTGTAATCTTTGTCCTTTGTGCATATCTTTTGAAAGGCATTCCACGATGCAGACCCCAAATTCGAATCTCAGGGTCGTCAAGTCCCCAGGCTAAAGGAGGCCGAGTCGGCCAGTTTCAGAAAGGCTAAGTCGGGTACCCAAGGAGTCAAGTCCAACAGGTACCTGGTCAACAGGCACATCCCAGGGGCAAAAGTCACATCTCGCAGTCAAAAGTCATATTCCACAGGCAAGGGTCACGACCAACAGACAAAAGTCGTGTCTCAAAGTCAAAGGGCAGATTCTACAGGCAAAGGTCATGTCTCATAGACAAAGGGGCACATTCCACAGATGGAAAGTCGTGACTCTTCACAGTCCCAAGCAGCAGCACACCAAGGGAAATTTGTGGAGGTACCAGGCCTCAACATTCTGAAGCAAACAGGCCGTGGGCATGTGGTACCAGATCCAAGTCAAACCAAAGGAAGCAGAGGCTGGAACGAGTCCAGACCCAGGGCAGCCACATTTCAGACAGATGGCTCATTCGTGAGAAGTGTGGAAGTGCTGCTGAAGCGCTTGTGCGCTATCTGCAAGTGGTATGCGTGAGAGCCCTGCTGGCCAGCGCTGTGCTAGTAGTAGGCGATAGGGCTGAGTAGTAGCGGATGTATTCAGAGTCACAGAGAGAGTCAGAGGGAGAGACACAGAGCGCATGCATGAAGAAGACAGAGAGAGGGAGAGAGAGTGAGGCAGAGTATGAGAGAGAGGAGAGTCACCTGCCTTAGATGAGCATGCTGGAATTGGGTTGTTGAACTCTGCGCTGATGGGCACTTGGTGACTGGAACTCTAAAACTGTCTAATATGATAATTTGTTGGTCTCCAGTGTGGGTTTCGTGTGATCTCTCAATGTGTGTATATGCACAAGGTGACGATCAGTGAGGCTCAATGCACTTTCCATCTTTATCGGCCTGCTACGCAGATGTGCCGGTGGAATGTAATCACATCACGAACCCGAGGAAAAGGAGGGAAAAAAAACATGTGGTGTGTTCGGCGAGGGTTCGAGCTTGTGACCTGGATTCAAACAGAAACATTACAAGTGATGGGGTAACGCTTGTTCGGGCTTGTCACCTAGTTTAATGTGTGACGGGGCTGCCCATGTTTGAGCTTATGACCTGGATGCAAACCAAAAAAAGCAGCGTGATGGGGTGTGTTCGGTAATGGTTCGAGCTTGTTACTTGGATGCCCGCAGAAGAAAAAAAAATGAAACGCACAATGGGACTGCTCGTGTTCAAGCTCGTAACCTAAAAAGTCTGTGATGTGGTCTTCCGTGTTCAAGGTCATGACCTGGATGCAAACCAGAAAAATGCACAATGGGGGTTGCCCGCAATTCTCTTCGGCATACCCTTGAAAGGGGCATCAAGCCCGAAGGTCCTTGTCTGGTCATAAATAGACAAGTACCATGAGCTGTATCCATATTGGATGTGTAACTTGATTTATCAAAGTCTGGCCTCACTTATATAGCATCCGCGTCAGTCCATGTGTGAAACACAAGGATGAAAGGTTATGGGATATGAAGCGAACGACTCTGAAGAGAGAAATCAAAATGTTGCATGTGTGAAAGACCGTCAGTTTAAGTCGACCTGAAACGTGAGTCGACCAGGGAGATGGGTGTCCCAAGTATTTATGGGTCGGTTTTAGACATTACCACATGTACACAAGAAATGCCCTCATCTGGCCCACCTCTAGCGTGGCAACCAAAAGACGCCACACAAGCATCTGTAGCTCAACAAGGATGCGCTCACTTAAGGATAATGACAACTCCTTGGGTGAAGGTAAGTTGTGCCTCGAGGGACTCTATTCTCTCTTAGGGGGTCGCAGGAGGTATAGAGAGCGCATTCAGCGGAGTGGTAATCACAAGTTAATTGTCAATCCTACGTGACACGGTCGGAAGGGCCTTAGTGTCACCGCCTCTTTTGTCCACTTTGATCGATGCGCTCGATAATGTGCATTGCAGACGAAATACGATATTGACGGAGGAGATCAATGTTGAATGAGGAATATGTACCAGAAGCGTCAGTCGCTAGCTCACAATGATTATATCCCTGCCGTTTGTGACTACTACCTTCCCCTTTGAGCGATCATATGGTAGAGAAAGTGTTTGGATCATTGTGATCCTAGTGATTACAGGGAGTGTTTTAAGAGGTCCGTTTGAATCATTATGATTAAGAAATGTCGTAAGTTGTTTCAAGATATGTAGCATATTTTTCACAAGAGGACAGATAATTGTCAATGTTGTTTGTTTTTCAGCGACGAGAAAGTTCATCTCATTTTGAAGAAACATGGCGACAGACATGGTTGCCGGCGTTCGGGATGGGCCGAACGCCCGAACCCGAACGCCCGAACGTACGGGACCCCTTCGGAAGGCGTTCGGCCGTTCGAGCCGAACGCGGACCAA